CAATGTTTACATAATCATAATATGATAATGAAATCTTAGTGGTCTTCCCTTTTCAGGGTCGATTTATAGTTAACATATGGAAGATTTAACTATATGTTACAGAATAGAATATCAGTATCATAAATCTTTACAATGTCAGTACAGTGGGACAGCTAACACAAGACGGGAAGTAGAAAGGGGAAAGACAGAGGAAAATGCAGGGGTGGGAATTTCTTCATTAACATAGTGGGGAGTCAAGAAATACTAAGACTAGAAGGCAGGAGGGGACAGGAAAGCTGGTGATAGGGAAGCCAAGGTTGAGAAACGACAGTGTTGACATGTCGTGGGGTTGTTAACTACTGTCATAAAACAATATGTGTACTGTTTAATGAGAAACTATTTGTTCTGTAAACCTACATCTAAAGTACAAAAAAAAAAAAAATTATTATCTATGTGAGATCAAATTGACAACACCAACTCAAAAGGTTTGATGGGAAACCTAGGGGACAGTGAGTTGAAGATAATGGTGATGGAATAATTTGGAAAAGGATAGTGAGAACAGCAGCACTACTGGAAGAATGTAATCAATGTCTCTGAATTGTACATGTAGAAACTTTCGAACTGGTGTAACTTTGGCTATGCATATTTTCACCAAAAACAAAAGGTCCTCAAGGTCGAGAAGGGAGAGTGTTGATACGTCGTGGGTTTGTTAACCAATGTCATAATATGTGTACTGACGGTTGAATGAGAAACTATTTGTTCTGTAAACCTTCATCTAAAGTACAATTTAAAAAATTTAAAAAAAAAGAAATACTGTCTACAAAAAATAGAAATTTAAGTAAATTGTGTAATTTTAAAAGATTAAATAATAGTATTAACTAACAAGAAAAACACAACTAACAAAAAAATGGAGAATGGTTAAATGAGCTAATTTCCTCATTGTTTCATAGCAAGGAATTAAGGAAAGTGATACATTAATAAACAGAGTCACAAAAACATTATTTATAGTTGAGAAGTTACAAAAACAAAAAAAGAAATGGTCAAAAGTAGAAACCTCAGAGTCATGGAACAGGAACAGAAGATGGGAAGGTAAAATTTTATTTTTCATTGTTTATACCCTTCTGAATTGTTTAATTTTCCATGTTCATGTTTCACATTTATAATTTAAAATCTGATGTTAGTATCTTGCTGTATTGACACAGATTTAGAGTTCAAAATTTGAAAGAGCAAAGGAATCAATGATTGCAAAGTGAGGTTTGTGAAAGAAGCTTAAAGGGTACAGGACTAATTTACATGAGTAAAGAGGGGTAAAAAAGTAATTTTTAAAAATCAGTCAATATAAAAGCAAGGTTATCTATAATAGAAAATGACCCTTTCCCATGAAGGCAAAACAAGAGAAGCTCCCACTGTAGAAAGGATTTAAGATGGATATAAAGGGAAATGGCCCGCCCCTGGAGCAGAGAGACTTACAGGGAGACACTGGAGAATCATTCCCTAGAGATTTTTCCAAGGACTTCAAAAATCTATCCTCTGATTTCTTGGTTACAAAGAATGATATCAAGAAGCAGGGCTATGATCTTTAAAGATCCTATCTAATTTTATTTATAACATGACTTACATACTTAATTTCAATAAAGGAAAGGCTATAATTCTTTTTTTATTTTTAGTACACATATTGTTTTATGACATTGGTCAACAACCCCATGACATGTCAACACTCTCTCTTCTCAACCTTCGGTTCCCTGTTACCAGCTTTCCTGTCCCCTTCTGCCCTCTAGTCCTTGTCCCTGGGCTATTGTGCCCATTTAGTCTTGTTTTGTTTTATCGGCCTGTCTGATCTTTGGCTGAATGGTGAACCTTGGGAGTGACTTCCTTACTGAGCTAAAAGGATGTTCAGGGGCCATACTCTCAGGGTTTCTCTCATCTGTCAGGCCAGTAAATCTGATCTTTTTTTTGTGAGTTACAATTTTGTTCCACATTTTTCTCCAGCTCTGTCTGGGACCCTCTATTGTGATCCCTGTCAGAACAGTCAGTGGTGGTAGCGAGGCACCATCTAGTTGTACTGGACTCAGTCTGGTAGAGGCTGGTTGTGGTCCATTAGTCCTCTGAATTTTTCCTCTGACAGTCCTCTGATTTTTCCTTTGTATCTTGTTTTCTTCATTCTCCCTTGCTCGCAAAGGGGTGAGACCAGTGCAGTATCTTAGATGGCCACTCACAGGCTTTTAAGACCCCAGATGCTACTCACCAAGGTAAAATGTAGAACATTTTCTTTATAAACTATGTTATGCCAATTGAGCTAGATGTTTCCCAAGACCATGGTCCCCACAGTCCTCAACCCAACAATTTGGTCCCTCAGGGAGTCTGGATGTGTCTACGGAGCTTCCACGACCTTGCCTTGTACAAGTTGTGTTGGCTTCCCCAGTATTGTGTACTGTCTTATCCTTCACCAAAGTTACCACTTATCTATCATCTATTATAGTGTTTTCCACCCACAACTCTTCCCCTTCCTTATAACCATCAAAGATTGTTTCTTTTTGTATGTAAACCTTTTCATGAGTTTTTACAGTAGTGGTCTCATACAATATTTGTCTTTTTGTGATTGACTTATTTCACTCAGCATAATGTCCTCCAGATTCATCCACGTTATGAGATGCTTTGCAGATTCATCATTGTTCTTTATCATTGCATAATACTCCATTGTGTGTATGTACCATAGTTTATCCATTCATCTGTTGATGGGCATCTAGGTTGTTTCCATCAAAGGCTGTAATTCTTGAAGTTAACAGAATCCTCTCTTGAGATCTGCTCTGGCGTATATTTAGTTAGAAAGGAAAAACTTTCTTCTTTTATTATCTGCATATCTTCTATTATATTTCTTAAGGCCTAACTAGAAGATGGGATGCACAATAGATTCAGGTTATGCTTATAAACATGAAATCATAATCTTTGGTCCCATTGATTCTTAGACTGTTAATAGGCACTTGCCTTCTTGTTACTACTTTTATTCTTCTGATGTATTATTTATTGATTTGTAAAACACTTACTGCTATAGCACCTAAGTGCTAAAGTACAAAGTAAAGTTACATCTACGAGGAAAGGAAACAAAAATAAAAAAGGAGAAAAAGGTGTTGATGACTTAATGCAAAGCTATTGGGAGAGGCTCTAATCTAATGAGTGAACAGGTTTTTGAATCAAGGAAAATTTATTTAAATACAAAATCATTACTACATGTATGTGGTCAATAGTTAGTCAGTCAACCAGTTCTTGTTAAAAACCCACATTGTACAGCATCTTCAACAGGGTGACATAAAAGAAAAAGATGAGGATTGGTTTTCTCCCAAGAGGAGTTTACAACCCAGTTTACACTAATGAAAAGACAGAAGAGATGGGTGGTGGGAAAGTGGAAGATATATAAATGGCGGTGAGCTTTGAGGCAGCACAGTGTCTGTGAGCTGGATACCCAATAAGAAATTACATTGTAAAGACAAATGGGCAACTGTTCATGGGCCTTGACAGACTTCCTATTATATAAAAAGTGTTCCAGGAGCTTGGAAGTGTTAGCTTCTCCATTTCCCCCTTTTGTCATATAGCTTGGATTCACCCTCTTTGGTAATGTGATAAGAGGCAATGTGGTACAGTGGAAAGAGCCCTGGGTTTAAATCTTGGCTCTGTTCCTTGGAAAAGACATTTAGCCTCTCTGAGCTTCACTTTCTCTTTTATAAGATGAGAAAATCTCCGCAAGGTGTTTTTTATTGAGGACAAAGTGAGATAAAATATGCGAAAAGTGCTGCCATGCTAGTAACTGAATAATTGTTAGTTTTCTTACATACTATGGCAGAGACGACCACAAAATCTATGTTCCACTTGGTAGTAGCTGCCTAGCCAGAGACTGACTAGGTTTCTCAGTCCTGCTAGCACCTAGGTGTGACAAAGTGACGTTCTCTCCAGTGGATCTGAGTAGAAGAGATGTGCACCAAACCTAGACCAAGGCTTTTCAGAAGCAAGCAATGCCTTCTTTATGTTCTGCCAGCTAGATGCAGATGATGATGAAGAGGCCCAAGGCGATGGCAGAAACACAAAAAGGAAGATGCCTGGATTCCTTAATCACAGGTGGAGAAGAGCCACCTAACATCCAGGAACACCCTCATTGGACTGAGAAATAAGTTACTGTGTTAAGCTACTGAAATGTTGGAGCTTATTTGTTACAGCAGCAAATGTTACCCTAATATAAATACGCTATATGATAATTACTATAGTAAGCGCAAGAGGCTCACTCTAACGATGGTGTCAGACAGTGCATTAAACAAGCCACCATTAATGTTATTAAGAAGTTACGGCCTTTTGATATAATCTTGCTTCCCAGAGAATCTGGCTCTACACAAAAAGGTACTGAATCTTTTCATGAACTATTATTCTAGGCTGGTCAGAGTCCACACAATCCTCCTTCTTAGCTTTCCTTGCAACCATATGAGCCCAATGCTGTATGAGTTAAATATCTCTGTCTCCTTACGGAGAACCTAAGGTACAAGGCATTTCCTTAGTTTAGATAACAGCTTGGCTAACACTGAGATGAGATGAATATTTAAAGCTAACCCTGACAACGATGTGAGGGTGGGGAGTAGAAAAGAATCCCAGAATAACTACTGAAGTGTGTATCACTTCAGCAAACTTCTCCAAGGAAGTACAAAATCCTAACAGGAGTAACATGGGGTGTGGTGGGGGAGACAGACTTGTATAAGTAAAATATCTTTCTTTTCCTGCTTAGGTACGTATGTCATTTCAAATAGTGTGAGTCAAGTTCAAACCATGAGACAGGGAAAGCTTGTTTGGTCACATAAAGTAAATTCTTATCTAAGTACTCAATAGTCAAAACAGAAGTAAAGAATCATAGGAATATGTTTTCAATCTCCAAATAAGAATATAATTTGTAGTTTCCATGAATATTCACTGGAAACTTCTGAATCCATAGGAAAGACTTTGTCTTTTCAATTGGAATAAATTTCTGAAAGGAAGTAACTTACTTGCAGGAGACTTTAGTTCTATCAGCCACCATGGTCCACTGTTGCTGGTTGGTAGAAACCTCAACGTAGTAGCTATAGCTTCGATCATCACAGTCCCAAAGTAATAACCTGAACAAAGAGAAAAGCATAAGGATGCTACAACTGTTCTAACAGGCTGTGTCATTAGGCTGTAGGGATGGGTGAGACTATGTCTACTCTATCTGTCCCAGCTGTCCCCTTTGCCCTACCATACTTTCAGTACTAGAGAAAGAAAGTGAATAGACAACAAAAGTACAAAGAGAACAAGTGGAATCAGTCTATAGCGAAGGTTTGTTTCTTTAGCAGCTTATTTCACAAGTCACCCAATCCCGGGCAGCCTCTGTCCCCCAAGTGGCAAAGCTTTTCCGATGGGTTTGGGAGCGAGAAGATGTCTGCAAATCTTCCTTCCCAATTCTTCAAGCTCTCATCTCCAGTTGGCTGGAATGACCAAAGGTACCACTCTTGGGAACACTATTTTTGGGGGAGAATCTGTGCTTTCTAGAAATAGGTGATAACTAGTATGCCCCTATGACCTTTATTATCATGTTTTTACATAACTTTGTTAAGATTATCTGATTTGGAGAAACAGGCAAACATATTATTAGTAAAATGTTCTTATTATTTAGAGATTATCTTGGTCCTGTTCTTCTCCCCTTTTTCTGCCCAGATAAGAACCTAAGTATTGACTATATGGTTCCATTTACATGAAACTCAAAAACAGACAAATTTTATCTATGGTGCCAGGAATATGAATAGCGATTATCTCTAAGGGAGGCATTATTTCTCAGTGAGAAACAGCATGAGGGAGCCTTCTAGGATGCTGGAAATGTGCTAATATATTTTTTCCTTTTTGAAATGTGCTGATTTTGATCTGACTGGTAGTTACATGGGCATACAGACATGTAAATATTAACCGACCTAAGATTTGTGCATTGTATGTATGTCAGTCCTTAATTTAAAAAATAAAGAAAAAAAAAATCTAAATATTGCAATATGGGATCAGACTTGTAGTTTAATTAGTCTAGAGTTGAGCTTCCGGCAGTGCCACAGAGACATACATCGTTATTCTCTATAATTTTAGCCTTAAAAGTCCTTCCTGTACAAAAGTCCTTACTGTTGATAGTTGGCCATGGACATTTGCTTCCTCCACCAGCTAGAATAGACAGTGAACTCCCTAAAGACAATGCCTATCTCCTTACTGATTTTGATACACCCAGTATGTGGCATAGTGTCTCACACAGGGTCTATGCTCAATGAATGCTGAGCAAATACATTACTTACAACAATAATAACGATCACGATGGTCAACATTTCCTTAATGTTTACAGTGCACCAGGCCCTGAGTTAAGTGCTTTTCATAATTTATCTTATTAAATTCTTCCAAAAATCCTCTTAGCAAGCACTATTATTCTCATCAAATTATAGACGGTGAAAGTGAGGCTTAAAGCTGTTAAGTAACTTGCCTAAATCATACATCTAGTGAGTAGTGCGGACAGGTTCCAACCCTGTATCCTGACTCAGAGCCCATTTCTGTGATCCCTCTGCCGTATGTTTCTACTACCCTGCATTTGTGTACCTGGGTCGTAACTTACAATCTGTAACCTGTCTCCCCATAAAAGTAGTTTGTATTATTTTCCCTTAATCTTGCAGCTGACATCAAGGAAAATCCTTTGCACAAGTGCAGTTTATAAACCTATTATTGAAGATTAGGAATGACCTTTTCCCCTTACCCTTTGTTCCCTGTTTACAATTGTAATTCTGTTTGCTATCAGTGACTAGACCAACAATATCTAATATCTGGAGATTCATCTTTAAGTAGATAAACTGTTATAAGGTTTTAAGAAAACATAAACAGATTACACCTACTGATTCCCTTTTATTCACCTGAGATTTTAATCTCTCAAAGTACTCTCAGAAAGGATTCCACTGTATTGTTTCTAAGTGTTCAGTAATTCTACTCTTAGACGACACCAGCTTGCTTGATAAGAAAATGAATCATTTCCCTCAGTCGTTTCCTCAAACATCGTTCTAGAGTCCCTCAGCACTTTTATGCAGTTAAACCCATTGCCATCAAGTCGATTCTGACTCATAGCGACCCTATAGGACAGAGGAGAACCTGCCCCATAGAGTTTCCAAGGAGCGCCTGGTGGATTTGAACTGTAGACCTTTTGGTTAGCAGCCTGAGCTCTTAATCACTGTGCCACCAGGGCTCCTTTATGCAGTTAGCCTCTGCTAATTTACATTTATTGGGAGTAACCTTTTTTTGATGTGTGGTAGTCTTTTCTCCCCCTTTTTAAAAATTGTGGAGATTATATATAAGTATATATATATGTATATATATATATAATTTGTATATATAAAATTTGCCATTTTAAGTGTACAATTCATTGGCATTAATTACATTGACAAGGTTGTGTAACCATCACCACTATCTGTTTCCAAAACTTTTTACTCACTCCAAACAGAAACTCTGCATCCATTAAGCAATAATTCCTTATTCCTACCTCCCTCCAGTCCCTGGTAACCTCTAATCTACTTTCTGTTGCTAAGAATTTGTTTAGCAAATAGAATATTTGTCCTTTTGTGTCTGACTTCTTTCACTTAGCCTAGTATTTTCAAGGCTCATCCATGTTGTAGCATGTATCAGAATGGCATGCCTTTTTATGGCTGAATAATATTCCACGGTATGTATATACCAAATTTTGTTTATCCATTCACCTCTCTTTTTTTTTTTTAAACAATATTTTATTGTGTTTTCGGTGAAGGTTTACACAGCAGTTTAAGTTCTCATTCACCAATTTATACACAAGTTGTTCAGTGACACTGGTTACATTCTTCACAATGTATAAACATTCTCATTATTTCCGTTCTGGTTGTTCCATTTCCACTAATCTAGTTTCCCTAACCCCTTACATTCTCATCTTTGTTTTAAAGTTGTTGTTGACCACTTGGTGTCACATAGGTGATTTTTAAAAGGAGCACAATACTTATGGGTTATAGTCATTATTTTTTGAGTCAATTTGTTATTTAACTACAAGGTGACCTGACGGGTTAGTTTTGGTATCTCTGGGCAATAGTCTTGGGGAGTCCTCCAGTCTCAACCAGTCCAGTAGGTCTGGTTTGTTTGTTTTTTTAAATATGAATTTGAGTTTTGTTCCACATTTTTCTCTCATTCTGTCAGTGTCCACCTTTGTGGCCTTGATGATTAGAACAGTCAGTAGTGGCAGTCAGGCACCATCTAGTTCTTCTGGTCTCAGATTAGATGAGGCCGTGGTTTGTGTAGCCTCTTTGTCCTGTAGACTACTTTCTTCTCTGAGTCTTGGTTTCCTTCTTTCTCGTTTGCTCTGGACGAATAGAGACCAATAGTTGTATCTTAGATGGCTGCTTGTAAGCTTTTAAGACCCCAGACACTACTCACCAAACTAGGATGTAGTACATAACTTAATGAACTATATTATTTCCACTGGCCAAGATGTCCCATGAGACTATGGTCAAACCCAGAAATCCAATCCTGTTATCCATTCATCTTTTGATGGACACTTGAGTTGTTTCTACTTTTTGGCTATTATGAATAATACTTCTATAAAACTGGTGTATAAATATCCGAGTCCCCGTTTTCAAATCTTTTGGGTATATACCTAGGAGTAGAATTGCTGGGTCATATGGTAATCCTATGTTTAGCCTTTTGAGGAACTACCAAACTGTTTTCCACAGTGGCTGCACCATTCTACATTCCCACCAGCAGTGGATGGGGGTTCCAATTTATCTATATACTCACCATTACTTGTTATTTTCTTTTTTTTAAAAAAAATTTTTTTTATTATAGCCATCCTAGTGGAGCTCCGGTGGTGTAGTGGTTCAGAGCTTGGCTGCTTATCAAAGGCTGGCAGTTCAAATCCACCAACCACTCCTTGGAAACCCTATGGGGTAGTTCTACTCTGTCCTATAGGGTCACTATGAGTCGGAACCGACTTGACGGCATCTAACAACAACAATCACTAACGATGCTGAATATTTTTCCTGTGCTTATTGGCCATTTGTATATCTCCTTTAGAGAAATGTCTATTCAAGGCCTTTGACCATTTTTTAAACTGGGTTGTTTGTCTCTGTTGTTGAGTTGTAGGAGTTGTTTTATATAATATCCTACAATATTAAACTCTTATCAAATATATGATTTGCAAATATTTTCTCTCATTCTGTGGGTTGTCTTTTCACTCTCTTGATAATGTCCTCTGATGTACAAAAGTTTTAAATTTTTATGAAGTCCAATTTACCTATTTTTTCTTTCGTTGCTCATGCTTTTGGTGTCATATTTAAGAAATCACTGCCAAATCCAAGGTCATGAAGATTTTCCCCTATGTTTTCTTCCAAGAGTTTTATGGTTTTAGCTCTTAAATTTAGATTTTTGATCAATTTCGAGTTATGAGTAATTTTTTAAAGTGTATTTTTGTGTCTATGTTTGTCTGGCTCCAAGTTTGATTATAAGCCTCTTGAGAAAGACCTTCTATATTTCTCTGTTTTAAAAACTCTACTCCAAACACCTGGGCTCTGTTCATGATGTATGCTCCACATACGTTCTGGGCTCAGATTATTCATAACTTTGATACAGCAGACTAAAACCAGGGAAAAAAAAAGAAAAACAGACTTCAAATTAATAATTTTCTTCATTTAACAGCCCTAGCAATAGGTTTATTGGGAGACAATGTTAAAGCTATTTTCCGAATGGAATTTTGGATTATTATGGAAAGCCAGGTTTATCACCTTCTGGATAATCGTAAATTAGTGTTTTTATCAGACTATCCATGTAAAATAACCATCCCTTTTGGGATAGAACTCAATCAAAATATTTCATGGAGAAAGGCTGCCCTGAGGATTTCGGATATGAGGAAGATGAACGAGGAAGACCAATTATAAGTATCATAAATGTTCTAGTAAAGATATAAATTAAAATATTTTTTAAAGTTGTACATATCACGCTTTAGAGTAATTCTATAAAGTCCTCTAATTTGTTCTAAGGCAAATTATTATTTTAAAATGAAAATCACCTGTAATTCCAGTAATTTTATAAACTCAAACACACTGTGCATATT